ATGGGCAAATACACTGAAATGGTTCTTTCAGTAGAGGAAAGTAATTGAATCATTTTCTTTTTGCCATCGTAAATATCTTCAAGAAAGCTGTTATATTTCGCATATGAATTTAAACATTACGGTCTAAAATAACCGACACATTTTGACGGGATTTTTTTATAAAGATCAATTGGTTGAACAGAAACAAATTTGCAATTTTCCTTTGGATTTCTCTGAATTTCACACAGTATTTAAATACTGAGTCGTCTGTTTTCCTTTTTTAGCATAGAAATCTGGCCAAACTCTTCACGATTTTGTTGTCATCTGACAGTAAGCAAACAACCAAAACAGTCAACATTTTTTTGCACTGACTGATTGATAGCCAAAAATGTCATACATTAAAAATGTAAGTGAAAGAAGTTATTATTTGGAGGGGTTTTTTTTTGGGGGGGGGGATTTTTTTTTTTTGTAATCCCCAATTGCATTGCGACCCGATGTGCCCTGCCGAAGAACCATGCTATTTCCTGGACAATGTTGCAGTGGCGTAGCTGATATGGATGGGAGGAGCCTTATAACATGTGGAGGGGGCTGTGTGTCCGAGTGGACAATATGGGATCTATCAAAATCCCATGCTCGGCCTATATTTTGGCCAATTCAGACGGGCCAATCCATGGATAAAACTGAAGCCACAAATGAGGCAACCAGCCATGTACATGTACATTCAATTGTACATTCAAATGATAATTTCAAATTTCATGAAGGCCCCACATTGCACGGGCTTTACTTTTGTCCCCTCCTGTTTTTTGTGTGGCCCCTCCTTCATTCTAGCTACGCCACTGTTGATGTGGTGGCAATCTGCCCCTCAGCATCCTCAGAAGCTGTGGCATCATGACACAGGGACAGTCTTGTCCCGCCATCCATGGTCAAGTTTAATTGAAGTTTTCATTAATTCATGCACTGTACAATGACAACATACATCCTCATCTGTTTTGCTCGCTAAACCTAAATGTGTATCATGGCATTTCGGAGTAAACATACTGCTACATGCCTACATTACAACAGATATTGCACATTTATGCTCACATGCAAACCTAGGCAGGCCCCAGGACAAATTGATGGCAGTTTCTAAGATTGATTCTGCAACAAGACATTTTGTAGCTAGGAAAAAAATCCTTGTAACATCGGTGGCGTTTACGTACACGCAGCACAAAATTTGGCAAATATTTTTGGTTTCAAGATTGACCAAAAAGGAATGATTGAAAAGACTGTTTTGTTTAGCGCTCTTTTTTTACACTGGATCAACCAATTTCTTCTTGCCAAACAATTGAGTGTTTCTGCAAGGTTTGTCGAGACTGAGCAACAAAAATGCAGAATTTAAAATCAAGACATTTGTGCAGGGTTTAATCTACATGTACATATCTCTTAAAGTTTTCTGCTTTTCTTTGTAACATTCAAAGTCGTGAATGCAAATATGCAAGTGCTTTTTGTACAGCATCGTCACAACTTGATGTGTGCCATGAAATGAAAATGAGGTACATGTACATGTACAGTGTCGTAAATTGACACTCATTTTGGAAATGTTTTTACACCTTACTTCCGCTTTGATTTATTCTGTGTTTGCAAATCAAATTTTCTCATTTTTTCTCGTATTTTTTCTCAAGACTGAGTTCGCAAAATAGAAGAGCAGAATTTCACAAGTAAGCTCTTTCAGATGATCTGATATCATCAGTGAAACTGCCAGTTATTGATGATTAATCCAGGGGCCTGCCAATTACGACATGTAACACAAGACTGATCTTTTACTTGGGAGCCTTTGACATCTTTAGAAAGAAACTGAAAAACCTACATGTATAAAACAACTAACTGTACAGGCTAAACATGTCCTTGACTTTATAAAATGTACCCCTGCTGCAGTTGTGAAAGTCTAGTGTAATGTCATGACCTGGGATTCAAACCGAGTGGCATTGGCAAAATTGCTAAGTCCCAGTTATTCAGATTTCTCTGGGTCTACCCTTGTTAAGTTCAGCATTAACTTTAGGAACATGGATAACGCTAACATGCAAACATGTACATGTACGTGTAAATGTATGTGCCTAACAAATTTAGCTCTCAGGTTAAATTTTTGGAATCATTTGGAATCACTATCATGTATGTTTTTAAGGCCATTTAAGAACATGAAACCAATCCTATTCAGCACAAAAATCAGATATTTTGCTAAGTACATTGTAAGCTAAGTACATTCTTCAGTTTCACTGGTTTAAACCTTGATGCTAATTTTCGGCAGAGAAAATGTGAAAGTTAGCAAGTTTATTTCATCATATTGAGACTGACTTTGGTCATGTCGGAGTTTACTCACTTCTTTATTTTACTGCTGGATTGAATCCAGTACTGCTGGATTGAATCCAGTGTGAGATAAAACCTTAACTGCCTCAAACTGGTATTTTTTTTTCATGGTCTATCAAACGTTTCGATGTAGTGTTTCACATATTTTTTAACTACCGGGTAGGTTGAATTGGTTACTTGTATGACTAGGTTTATCTACCATATTTGTCTACTTACTTTTTTAGACAGATTTAGACCCTACATTCAATTTTGTATTATTTACTTCATTGAATTTTATTCACTGTTCATCACGTTTAATTAAAAAACATCTACATGGATTTCATACATATGCTACAATATAGATTCAATAAAAAAAATGTATACCTACATGAAGGGTTTATTCAATGGAATAATAAATTCAGAGGTTTGCTAAACTCTTTTTTCGAAGAATCGTCTAGATATCACTAATCAGGGTATAACTTTAGAAAAAAACATGACTTAAGACTATAAGAGTGCTTTAGTCGATTCCGATGTAGAATGGACATTGTCTATTTAAAGATCTGCTCTACATTTGTATGTTCTTGCATCCCTTTTCGTAACTAAACTGAATCTAAACTTGACCACAGTAATGATTTGGAAAACCTTTGACATTTGTTCAACCCTTTAGTGACCACAGCCGCTAGAGGCGACCACAACTGAAGTACAAGTAGTGGCAACAGAGGACCAGCTTTTATTTTATCTTTTACTTTTTTTGGTTTAGCTACATAGTTCAATATTTGATAACAGTCCTCAACTCACAATTATACTTTGCCTCGATTTAGAGCTGCACTTTGCAAGTTCACAGCATTGTGTGCCGAGAAAAGTGTCGTCACTAAAGGGTTAAAGCATGGAGCATAGCTAGTCTTCAGTCTGTGGCAATACCAACATGTGTCCTGAAAGATCTTCACCTTATTTGACAACTGTCAAACAACAGTCTATATTTCTACAATTCCAGATTTGGTTGAGTCTCATATTTAGGATACTTTGTATTTTACGGCATCCTCTTGCAATTTGTTAAGTTGTGAAAACTAATATTTGTTTAGAATGCCTGTATACGAGGTTACCCCAATTCACAGTTAAACACAAGAACTGGTCTGAGCAAAATTTGAGAGTGCAAAATAACTTTGCATTTTTGGGGGGAAGGGAAACATTCTTAGTTCTTTGCTGATGTTGCAAATAAATTAAGGCAGGTTGGCTTCAGCAGACATTCAATTGTTTACAAAATGTTGGTTTCTTGAGAAATGAAACCAACTCAAAACAGATGGATTATTGAAGAGTTTTAAAATCGTCATGATGATTTGTTTTCTTTGCAGTCATTGATCAGATGGGCTTGTCCTTGTTAACGTCAAGCAACAGCTCTCTGGAGCCACATTATATGTACATGTAAGGTACATGAACATTGATGTTCAATTTCTAGAGTACATGCATGTACAGACTCAGACTAGAAAGAACTGGACACAAGACCAAAGGAATTTCACTTTCAACTGCATTGTGAGTTCCCATCTTTACAAGTATCAAATTGATAATTGTAGGGCTTTTGATTAATTGTAATAAGGTGAAGATCTTTCAGGACTTTGACATTTTTTCTAAAATGGTTTACATGTATCTCTTTCTTGGTTGATACGAGGAAATGTTGTTGCTTTTTTCACGAAGAAAAGAATGCATCACACACCATTTCAATTCCACTCAAAATGTTATGTTGGCCATTACATTTAAATTTCAAATGACACAACTCTCAGTAATGTAGTACTGAGACAAAAGTACCGGGTTCAAGAAACGGAAGTAAATTTTTTGCAGAATTTTTTGTCTCGGGTTGATTTAGAAAAGAAGCCAGACATGCCAGATGAATTAATTTTCTTTTGCTTCATGCCTAGATTTTCAAGGTTTTAGTTTCAAGTTGCTCGGTGGCACGGTTTGATGGGGCTTCACTGCAGACAAATGACTACATCAGATCACAATCTTGTGATCAAGTCACATTTTAGAAAGACCTGGCAGGGGACTCCCCCATGCAACCACCTATCAGGTAGGTGATGAATCTATGGGAGGCTGCAGTGATTGCTCAAGCCCAAGGTTTTATCCAATCATAGGATTGGAGTGCAGAGGTCACAACAGGTGACTACATTATGAATCTAGTAGCAGCACTTTGGGCACTTGTGCCGAGTGCCAAGTCCAGAAAGATCGCTAAGACCGAGAGAGACGTTTGCACACCAATACACTGGTTGCATCTCTGTGTGATTGTAGGACTCGGCGGACACTCGAAAGTGTATTGACATCTCCTTAAGCAGCAGTATCAAAACTTAACGGGGACTGACCAGTTCCTAGCTTCCTACAATCAATGCCTTGATCTGATTTCAATTTTTATTAAAAATGTCAAATGGCAGACATTTTGTTTCTTTTTGGTACTTTGAGCTACTTGGTATTGCCACAGACTGAAGACTATAATGCACAATACTGTTTTCCTGTAATGCAGACAGATAGCGTTTACTCCTAGCCATGAGATACACATTCTACTGTAGGTTTAGCGAGCAATGAGGATATACACAGTGCATGAATTCATTCTACAAACTTCAATTAAACTTACCATGGATCCATCTGGCAGGACTGGTTCCCTGTGCCTGACACACCACAGCTTCTGTCTTTAGGATGCAGAGGGCTTTTTGGTCCACCACATCTTCCATCTGGCCAGGAAGCAGCATGGTTCTCCCCCTCTGCACACCAGGACTTCTCCCCTACAATATGAAGAGTTTGGCCTTCTCTCCTTTTTCTTCTTTCCTAAAATTTACTTCCTAATGTTAGTTTTTCAACAGCTTTTCTGATGATAAAAATGATGGCACTGGCCCATTCATTGATTTCATGTTCCTTATTGTTTCTGGAATCTGAATTTTTAAATGCTTTTGATAGGGTTGCTTTGAAATCAGGACTTACTTTTTTAACAATGAAAACTAGAATTTAGAATTTTGACTGACTTTATACAGAGATTATCCAAGGCAAGGAAGCTGCCTTTTTGATATTGAATAAAACGTTTGGTCACTATTTTTCGGTTTATCAACTCGTGCTTTATGTGCTGCCAAACACACAAATGTTTTTTTTTTAAATTTAGCCCAAAAATTGGTCTGTACTTTCAGGTTTATGTTAAGAATCTTGTGCTGACAAAAAGACAAATATTATTTGCAAACACAATTTTTAAGTTATGCATCAGATACTGTATTTAGAGCAGATTTGACCTGTTCAGTTAATTTTAACTGATTTCCTTGAAGTAATTTCCTTATGTTTATTCGTGCATGTCTAGATTAGAACACACTCTATGAGAGAACTGATTGTACATGATGACACAATAAAAGGCAGTGAGATTTCAGAGTTATACCATGGAAGTTATTCACATAAATAGCGGCTGAAACACCTGTCCGAAAATCAAACCGCATTGAAGAACATCAGAGATACCAACAACAGTATCCATTTGTTAGCAGATCATTTGGATCAACATGATGCCATGGAACTAACGAAATGCAAGTAAGACATCAAGAGTAGATGCTCGATTGATCTCTAGATTTGCAATCTCCAGAGTGATAGATGGTACATAACTTCCACAGCAACACTCGGTAGGAAACGGCCAAAAATACATCTCCTTTGCAGAAAGGCAAACTAATTGTCAAAGTTCAAAAGGATCCTTACCATGTTGAAGTCGACCAAGTCATCCACGATCATCCAGACCACAAGATCAGGAAGCAAGCACACACCTTGACCAAAAGACCAATCGTCAATGCAGATAGGGACGACCCACCAGACGAGCCGGCATCTGCGGGCGGGGAACACCACACGTGCACGCCCCGGGGGGACTTGCATGCGTTGGGCTCAAGTGTATCAGAACATTGCCTGTTGGTCAAATGTCAAGTAATGAATGGGTTACTCAAAAAAATTATCAAGTTTTTTTCACATGAACATGTACAGCCAGCACTGGAACATAAATTTTTGTTTTCCTTTTTGTGGCAAAATTTAAAATTGGTGTTTAGCAAGTACATGTAATAAACAGTGTTAGTACCACCTAATTTTTTATTTCAAATGGGATTTGTTTACGCCGCTTATGAGGAATGGACAAAAAGACTGCATTTCTTGAGGTATTTACATGTAACTAAGGTGTGTCCACAAAAACACCTTGTAAACTATTGAAAAAGAAAGATTTTTTGATGGAATTTTTAACAGTGTTTTCACTGTGAAATGGACTATTTTTGGTTTAGCAATTTTTTTTCTCGAAAATGTGACACTAAAACCAATTTGCAATTACTTCTTTCATTCACAGACAAAGTTTGTCTGTTAAACATTGGACCAGTGCTGACTATACTTGATAAAACAAAAGCTGGGTACAAGACTGGCATGGTTGCTGATAGTAGGCAGGTAAATTATGACCAACAGAATTTTTTTTTTGAAAAGTCTTTTCAGATGAGTTGACAGAAATTCCAAAGCATAAACAAAAAGTTCATTGGTTGATTTTTGTTTGCCAAATTGAAAATTAACATGGATATGTGGGTTTTTTTCCCGTGCACGAGTTGGAGAGTAAGAATTTTGATTTTGTTCATATCTCAAACTTATTTGATTTAAATTGGACCAAACAGTGGTCAGAAGTCTGAAATAAAGTATGTAATACATTTCTGAAAACACTCACTAAAACACAATTTGCTAAAAAAGTTTCAATTTAAACCAATCTTGCACCCAGCTATTACCAATCAGGCAATGCCATAAAAATATGTCAAATTAAAATATCAATTCAATTGACGTAACCAGCTCTCTTTCTCCATATGCACGCAGATGCATCATCAAGGTTCTCTGAAGAGATTTTTTTCTGCAAGAACATGGAGAATTGCGCAGCCTTCAGCTTTAGTGAATACCGAGTACAAAAATCTGCCTATAAGAAGCTGCATACATGTACAGTACATGTATCAGAAAATTAGAAAAATATAATGCAGCACTCTCATCAGTTTGACTGCTTGTTGAAAGTTTTTTCCTAGTGATTTGAAACGATTGATCCGAGCAAATTAGTGGACTTACTGAATCAAATCAAAGACATATCAATTCTATGATATGCCTTGAGTTTACGGAGAGGAGCTGGTTACGTGTGGTATGTAAAGGCCTCTCTTCCATTGTCACATTTTATGATTTGGTTTGATTTGGTTTGGTTTGATCTCAACTAAGTCTGCCATCAATTGTGGGTCCGCAAAGAAAGATAGCATCTTTTGAAGGTTTCTGGAAAATTAACTTTGGGGATCTTGTCCCAACTTGTCACTAAGTGTATGACTGCATTACTTTCCATCATTAAATACTGAGCGAACATTATTGCACTTTCCTATCAAGATTCTAGACTTTTTGTCAAATTGTGGTCACCCAAGGCAACCTCTTCTGCATACGTGGGGTCACAGAGGTGACCTCTGATGACCTTAAGTGACCTCAAGGAAAGAGAGACCTCTACTTCTAGAGCATAAAATGTCCTTTCAAAGAGTTCCATTTTACGAAAGTTCCATTTCAAAGAGTCGATTTCACAAGAGTTCCATCTCCAAAGAGTTCCGTTTCAAAAGAGTTGTTTCCAACAAGTTCTGTTCCAAAAGAGTTCCTTTCAACAGTTTCTTTTCAAAGAGTTTAACTTCAACAGAGTTCATGAACAAGAGTTCCATTTCGACAAAGCTTTGTTTCCGATAAGTTCTGTTTCAAAAGAGTTCATTTCAACAGACTTTCTGTTTGAAAGAGTTCATTTTCAAAAGCGTTCCCTCAACAAGTCTCCGGCACATCATGAACTCCTGTCAGTCTGTTCAGAGCTAAAATGTGATCTCATGATGTCTAGTGCATGACTACTCAATGCATGATGTCTCAGCAGTTATTCAAAAGTTTGGTGAGACTCGTGCAGGCACATGGCTCAAGGATGGGTTATCCTTCGAGTTGCTTATTGTTCAAATGGAGAAAACACAACTCGACGCATTTTCTGATGACTAGCCAGACGTTGAATCATCTTGTGGCACACTGAGCTTGAAAGCCAAGATCTCCAGGCAATCCTTTTTGTAGGAAGTCCAATTGTTCTGTTGCAAGTCCTGCTTAGTGGTGGTGGCGTAGCTTATGAATCTCACACAGTCAATGCAGATCCAACTTGTTCAGGAGAGCATCTAAGAAGTGATCAGTGTCGCTGAGTGGCATCCAACAAGAGAGAATTCCTGTTCGTCTCACACTGGTTGAATTACAGGAATCAGTCACGGTGAGTGCTGAGGGTTCTCTGATTTCGTGTACCTCATCAGATCAAGTGAAGATTTCAGTAGCTTGGAGTTCACCGAGTAATGGTGGCGTGCTGTGCTGGTTTTCTTGAGGACAACATCATGCTGGTTTCAGCTGCCAGGGTGGTGCTGGGTCAAAGAATCTGTGTGCAAAAATAAAACAAAGAAATCCTCAGAACGACGTAGATACATTGTTGACTGTATGGCTGGGACACTGCCATTTCATTCAACTAACACCGCGTTCCCACTTGAATTGGGAAAAGGCAGATCAAGATCCGGCGTTTTGGTGTGATTGTTATCTTACCGCGACCAAACCGCAAGTTGCGTTCCCACTTATGCTTGATCCACCTTTTCAAACGGAAATGTCTGAAAGGTCACTCAGTTTGGTATTTAGCTTGCTGAGCGCGCAGTCTGTGGGAGTACGAGTGTTGCATGCTAGGACGGGACAATTTTCAAACAGCGCCATCAGAATTCACCAACAAAGATTACGCGAATTCACCGACGTAAATCCATGCATAAATTAACTAGTGAAATCCAGTGTTGTAGTCGAGGCCACAACCTCCGAGGCTGAGGCCAAGGCCAAGGCCGAGGCCACCACCTCCGAGGCCAAGGCCGAGGCCAGCAATCAAAACACGTAATAAAATATATATCACTAAAACAAGGCTAAGATTATGTTAGAGTTTTAACATCTTTTTAGCTGAATTCACTGAGTTTTGGAGTGCTGAAAAGCAAATTACACAACAAAATCAATGGCGTTTGAATCAGGCTCATAATGTTTGCCCTTTGGAGATACAACAATTTAAATGGCAAAATTGTGAGTTTCTATTCTGTAACATTTACATTATTTATTTTTAGCATGTTTTATAAATCCTATTTTCAAAACCTATCAAAATGCTTAATATCATAGGAATCCCCATTAAATAAACAACAACTTGATTTTTGAATCAGGTTTTTACCACTCATAACCAAAAAGTTACAATCCCCCCCCCCCCCCCGACCTTCGCACTGTCCAGGCGCGCGCCGAGCAAACACTGCGATGCGACCAGACAATGCCAGACGGCCCGCCGTTTCGCACGGGCAAAGCATACAGTAGTTCCAATCCCACTCCACACAACGGGATAAGTGTCCACGCATTATCACTGTTAATACCGCGGTACCAGACAAAGTCTGGCAATGGCCAATCCCGCTCCAAACAACACGGCAACACGGAACATGCATGCATGATATCACTCAGTTCATCAAAATGATCATGAATTCTCGGATCATCCGATTTGAATCCAATGGCTTCGAAGAATTTTAAGATCATGGCAAGAGGTAGGGAGTCCAGAGGTTTTGGCCGTATCTGTAACCACGCAAAATTAGTCAATTTCAAACCGTGCTTATACATGTAATAAGTATCAACATGGCTCTAAAAATACAAAAACGTATCCTGGTACCACGAGGAATACTGACTCCTATTATTAAAACATTCATTCAGAACTTTGCATTCATTTGGATGGAAAAACGAATTCTGAAATCGCGCTTTCCATATCGAATATTTGCGCCAAACATTACTGTGTGAGCCGGAACTTTCATTTAAATCACCGTGTAAAAATAAAATCTACTTGATCAATCGTAACTGTTTTGATCAAATCTTTATGAAAAAAAAATGGTACGGACTAGTACATTCGATTGTACCCAGAAAGTTCAGACTTTTACTGAAACAGTGGCCTATAAAAAGAAATGATTAAGCTTGCCGCACCTTGCCGCAAATCATTTTTAAAGGTCAAGGTACAGAGGCGAAACGAGAAAATTGTGTACAACACTGCAACCAAACTAGTTTACTACCACATGTTATTGTACGCAGATGGGATTGGTGCCAGACTTATGTAGTCTGGCACGCGGCAACAGTTATAACGCTTGCACGCACGTGAAAAGCTGAAGCGCAGGATAGGCGAAGATGCTACGTACGTGAGTACGTTCAATGCAACCATTTCCAGTTCATTCGTGCGTATTGTATATGCGTTCGTTTCACGGAACCCACTGCGGCAGAATCTCGAGGGTTTGATACGGTAGAAAATTGAAAATAATTAGAATAGAAAACACATCAAAATGGGCGGCTTCGAGCCGACCTCGAGAGATTCGCCGAGGCCGGAAGGCTCCGAGGCCGAAACCAAGGCCGAGGCCTTGCACTCCGAGGCCAAGGCCAAGGCCGAGGCCGAGGCCATGAAAATCGGCCTCGAGGCCGGCCTTGGCCCCTCCAACACTGGTGAAATCGAACAACGCCGCTCATTTTGTGACATCACATTCGCGCAGCAGAAACCAATGCATCAATAAGGGATTCCCTGGTTCTGAAGTTTCTCATTTGTTAAAAATGGTCACATGATGTACTACGACGTCATTTTCCAATTTTCTATTTATAGAAAATTACTACAGATCTGTCACCTCTTTACGTATCGCATTATCGGCTATATTCTCATCGCATACTCGTAAGCTTTCCGTGATTCTGTGCCAAAGTAACGTGTTTTGGCGAGTGCGTGCTTTTACACTAAAACAGAGTTATTCATGGATGGAAACATAAGTAAAATTTCATGAATGAAAAGGTTTAGGAATGGACAAATACACAACGAAAATTGTAAAAGGCCTAGCGTGGTTTTAGGATATACCACGTGCGCTGCGTGCACGCATGCATCGTGCATGCGCGGTGCTAGCCTGTAGTTCAGCGGTTGTTTATTGTGCATGTTGTGCACGTTGGAAATTTTCACATGAGCTACATCAGGCCTTCATTTTTAGAAATTCGTGGAGCTCAGTTAATCGCTCTCCTGGGAAATCCGAGGAGCTCAATTTGAGCACCCAAAATTGCTCTCCTGGGAAGTCCGAGGAGCTCGATTTGCATGTTTTGTGCTCAAAGTAAAAAATGAATCCAAATCATGTCCTGAAGCCTTTCATATCATGCACACACACTTGCATCAGAACTGAGAAACAGATGCGACTGTTCACTACAAATTGAGTGCTTAATCCATGTCAATTTAATAGGTTTAAGTTTTACTTGTTTGTGAATCGTCCTGATGTGGAAATAAAAATGAAAAACAAAATGGGGTTGACTTGGGGTTCTTTAGTGTTTCTATTTTGTTCTATTTTACTTCGTTTTTATTATACTCACTTTATTTTATTTTTATTTTATTTTGTTTTATTACTGTTTATTTCAGTTTTTATTTATTGATTTTTTTTTATCAAATTGTTTAATTGTTTTGGTTTACTAACTTTACTAAAAACCTGTTTTTGTTTAAATTTGCATATGTATCATGTGGTGTAACCGTGTTTTTGAGGGGTTCTAAATTTATATCCATATTGATGTATAGAGCCCCCTCCCCCCCCCCCCAAAAAAAATCCAATTAATTTAAGTCCGGTCATACATGTACATCTGTCAAAGAAATACTTTTTTTGTCACATAAATCCTCAAAATTAGTAAAATAGAAAAGGAAAATAATTATATGAATATTTGGTTTTGGGCACAAAAATTAAAAGGATCGAAAGTAAGGTCACAGAAAAGTAACGCCATTACAAAATGTCGAATGGTACTACGCACAAACAATGTCACCGTGCACGGGTGGGCCTGTTGACCGGCCGCGCTTGCGGGCATAGCCCGGTAGTCGACACACGGAAAATCGCTCTGCACTCTATCGTTGTGGGACAAATGAGCTCAACCTTTCGTAAGGTATCTCCAACCCAAACTTGTCAAAAATGAACGCTAGGTTTCTTGTAGATGTACCGGAGATCATTCAAAATGCCGTTCAAAAACTCTGGCTCCCTTTGGAATACCACAACTTCCAGAAAAACGGTGTAATGTCACATAGGCCTACCCACTGTTGACTGGATGCACAGTATTAGATCGCGCACAACACAAGTACATTACATTATGTACCGTACGCGTTAACGTTATGATATTAGGCTTGGACGGTATTGCCTTGTACTATACCGTGGTATACCGTGACAAAAAACGCGGTATTCACTAAAACCGCGGTATTATGTTAAGTGGGGTATTAGTTACGTCATTATCAGAAGAAAAAATAACTAACCACCAGGCACCACGTGCCAAGTTGATAAGCCGCCGGCGCAGCATAAATCACGCAAATGCTTCACGCCGCAAATCTCCTACACTAAAAGTGTCTTGGTTTCATTATCAGTCCATTTGTTTGTAAAAACAATATATCATTGTAAAAGATTATTAAACACGGGAAGCTTACTTTTTGTGGTATTGCATTTTTCGAATTTGTAAGTCATTGACTTGACAAGGTCCACTAAAAAATAATGCAGATCGTCGACCAACGCCAGAGGCCGACCACGCGACGATCCCCAGATCCTAGCGAACGTATGCTTTTCAGTTGGTATCCATTGTGAGTGATTCAAAAGGCTCATGCAATTTATGCCGGCCACCAGCGACTCCTTACGTGCTTCGCCGGTGTCATGTGAAAATCGGACTCCTATAAAAAATATCGTACTCCTTTCTCACTTGATCGGTCCGTGATTGATAATAGTAAACATCACAATGTTACGCATGCGCAACTGTGGACGCTGAAATATGAAGTTGTCGGTGCCACGACCTTCATAACGAACGGACCAATCATTCCAAAACATGAATGGAAAATGTTTTGAGCGCCGTTTCGAGTGCCGTTTTAGATGGCCAATCAGCTTGATCTACACAGTGCGTGGGAAAAAGCACGTGCAATTGTGCTTGTGGGCCCAGCAGGACGGGCGTAGCTTTACGTGTGATCGTGCGGCATATTACGGGGGTTTTTCCCACGGTGAGAAATCATGGCTTCTGTAGTACGCTTTCTTTTGGAGTATTTTCTTTTCTGGATTTTTATCTGGACGACTCGGCATATTCAGGCGAGTCCCTTCCCTTTGAACGTCGGTACCGAAGAATAACTAACGGACCAATCGAACCAAAACATGAATGACAAAATTGTTCCGGAGCGTGGATTTAGGTGGCCAATCAGATTCTTTTAAAAGGATGTTTGACCATTTTTCATCTCACCATCGTCTCGGTAAAACCTTCTAAAAAAAAGGCGAGTGCGGACACGGCTTTAGATCGATAAATGCAGTGGGTGGGGAAAAGCACGTGTTCCGACTCTCTCTGTGCAGAACCAGTGTGGGACCACGTGTATGCGTATCATGCACTGGCATGTACTGGCCACGCACATGACGCACATGACGTAGGAGGATTTAGGGAATTTCTTTAACACTACAGTGTTCGCTTCCAGATCGTACAAGAGTTTTTACCCACGATGAGAAATCATTCGTTGGAATATTTTCTTTTCTTAATTTTCCCGGACGGTTCACACTCGCTGCATCGTATATTCAGGCGAGTCCAGATTTTTTTTTCCTTTTGCGCGTTGGTGCCGACACTGCTTGATTGTACATTTATTCCCAAGGCTCATGATGAGACATCATGATGGCTTTGATATTGCGCTTTCCTTGAAATATTTTTTTTCTCATTTTCCCCGGATCGGACAGCTCAGCATCGCATGTGAATCCAGGCAAAAACTACGCATGATGATGTAAGATTTCTCTGAAACAACCACGGAGAAACAATTAAGACGACCAATTTTTGTCACGACCGTCAAAACATTCCCATGTGTAAAACATTGTTTGGACTTTCAGCGAAGACACTTGACACACAAAGAAAACCGCAAACACCGTGACTATCCGGTAATACCGAAATACCGTCCAAGCCTATATGATATGCGTGGCGACGGGAACCGTCGCCCACACACCACACTCAACACGTGTACATGTGCTTGGGTGGCCCATTTGGAAGCACGTCCATTTTATCGAAAATAGGGGTGTTGGTATTACAAAGTAGGTGGTTTTAATTGCTCAGCCCATCCATTTCATAATTGTTTTGTGTTTTCACTTCATCGGAGGTTTATTTATTTAGTTTTACATTATAAATATTTATAAACTAATTTATAAACTGATCTCAACCGAAGTTATTATTTCATTTTATTCACTTAACGGCGGTGCACGTCTGAATGACGATCCTGCCAGTACCCTTGATCATAATGGAACATCCTACATGTCGTTGATGAAAAGAAAATGGCTGATGTATCCATGTATTTGTTGAATTTTTTTGCAACAAAATCGTTCAAACATCGGGATGACAAGTTAAGAAATCAAGTATATAAAATTTGGATTGACAAGATTTTACTGTTGGCTTTTATGTAGACAAAAACTGGAGTCGACAATTAATAAGCTTACAAATTTACCCAGGAGCGCTATTATTCGCGCGCCAGAAACCGTGTTCAGGAGCACGAAGGAGCGCGATCGCGCTCCTTAAAAATGAAGGCCCCAAAACGTATTTCTTCGTCCTATTTTTGAAAGACCAAATTGGAGGTTTTCCCCCCAAAGACTGTCTTTGCTTGTTTATGGTTGTGTGGCAGGTGAAGCGATTGTATTACGCAAAAAAAACCAAATGTGGCATGGGAATAGGGATTGACAACAAGCAAGAATCTCGGAATCAGGCAACATGATGCAAAGCAGAAAGCTGAGATCATTTTCCAACAAAAAGTAAGTTAATGCATAGTATTAATTCATCAATTTCATCCACATTTAAACAATCAAGGAAATCACAAACCTTTTAATGCAATCCATGCTGTATGCAATTTGCAGGGGTTTTATCCCAAGGAAGCAGCTTGACGAAAGCAAAGTCTAACAGACCTGCAGAAAATTCATGAAAAAAAAACAGGGAAAGCATGGTGAATAAAGTGAAGATGCAGCATGATAATAATAATAATATACACTTGAGACATGCAGACAACCCAATTCCTGAAAACCTTTATCCCATAAATACCACATTGCCCAGTTATTTGCACCTGAAAGTGAACCAGGCCAATGCTAGTCTAAGCTAAAAATTACATTCCAAAACAATGCACACCAGTGTTGGAGTACTAGTACTTGAACTCGAGTACAACTCGAGTACCTATAAGTACTTGACCCGTACTCGATCATAAGTACGCGGAAAAAACAAGTACTCGGCACGTACTCGTAATTTTGTACTCGGACTCGTCCCTTAACTCGACAAATTGAGAGCTAAAATATTAAATCACTAAAGCGCTAACTCTTCATTCTTGCGCACGGAGACGCTTTGAAGCCGCTCTGGGTGCAGACATTTTGAATTTATGTGCGTGTTTGTAGAACACAATCAAAATAGATGGATTAAATTTTAAAAGTGTACTCTAAATGCAACGCGCAAGTTGAAGATACGCAAACAACTTGAGCGCGTCATGACAGTTCAAAAAACGCCACGGTGAAAAGCATCTGCAGCGGAGGGACGCGCATGCGTTGCGCTGTTTGCATAGAGCAAAATGACACGCTCATTTGCTGATTGTGCGTTTCGGTTTTGGGCGTATTGGCTTCGATGATGCACCGGTACGGAATACAAACGCAGATATGCAAATAGCCGTACAAAAGCCGTACAAAATTTCGAGTTTTCCATAGGTTTGTGCACAAACATGGATGTGCCCATCAGGTATCTCTTTGTACATCGAGTTAGAGCTCTAGTAATTTAATATAGCTCTATGATCCAGACGTAGACATGTCTTCTTCGTCAGAAATTATACATGTATCTTGGGGCTTAGAGATCACAAGGAATATTTCGCTAACGGACAGAAGCAGCACAGCGCAGTATGCAAGTCATGTGGGCTGCGGATTTTAGAGAAATCTGGAACAACTTGCAACTTCAATAAGCACCTTCTACGCAATAAATCAAGAATTCCAAGCACAAAAAAACCCCACTTTTTAATATGTGTACGTGTTAATTTCTTGGAATACTGGGTAATTACTTTACATATCACATGTAAGTAACAGTGCTAATTTCCATAATGCTTTAGTTTAAAAATATACTCGGGATGTACTCGAGATCTTTGTACTCGTACTCGGCCCGTACTCGGACTCTGAAAAACTCGAACTCGGATTTTTGGCCCAGGACTTGACTAAAAAGTACTCGGATTCGGCCCATACTCGGCACTGTGTGTACTCGGAAAACTTGGTACTCGAGTTTTGGTACTCGACTACAACACTGATGCACACACTGTACATATGTTTATTTTCATATGTTTATTAGTCAATTTTGGAAGCTTCCAAGAGAAATAAATGCTTTTGGAAAATGTGACTTCTCCTTTTAGAAAAAAAAAAATTCTACAAAGTTTTTAAAGAAGATTTGACCAAGCGAATCTACCATCTGGAACCACCACTCCGACCTCCTGCACACAAGTTATGAGCCATGACAGAAAAAGGTTAAGTATTATCAAAGAATTTTTTCACTACTAACATAGTGCTTCTTCATCAGATTTACAAGTTTTGGTACTATTCAGGTCATATTAAATTATGGAATATGAGTGGCGGCCTTGTATGGAATCCTTTCCCTCTTTTAAACTCTAACCCCCTAGTACTTCCTCGGGACTACCCTGCTAAATCCAACAGAGTCCAACCGGACTTTCCTGTTTAATCCACTGTGCCTCATTTTCAGTTGTCTGCTGAATCCAACTGAGTCCAACAATGCGTTATAATGCGGTTCAGTTGCCTGCTGAATCCAACATTTTGCATCCAACATTTTGACGTCACTTTTTCATTGTATGGCTAATCATTGCCAAAATGTGGAAATGACTTGAGCACGATGAATCTGGGACTGAGAGACATTTCCAATTTTGTTACGAAAAGCTTGGGGATTGTGTCATTCAGTTTCCCATCCTAGATTCCATTAAACATAATGAAATATGTTGAATTGAATCTTGGTCGGGATCAATAGAGGAAAAAGGACCATTTTTGATACAGATACAGAGAGTCCTGTTTTATAGGGCCTCCTATAAGGGAACTAAATCGACTTTTAAATTATTTGACCTATCAAACTAGTTGGGGACATTAAGAACATACAAGCAGACTATGTCATAAAGGGCAGGGTTTTGACTTTTTGAGGGAAATTTAGGTGTAAAATGACGATGACAATGACAAAATGCAACACAAAAATAAAGATGGCGATCACTGCGCGATGTACCGTGAACACTCAAGGCGCGCTGAGCCAAATCGCACGGCACCAACCGTAACCGCGTAGGAAAAACGTAATTTTTACCCAAAGAAACTATTAAAAAATTTCAAAAAGGTGTCACTATATTGAGAGAAGTTGGCTTTAGGTTGAAAATGTCATTTTTTAGTAAGGCTGAAAAAAAAATGGTTCTGCTTCCGATTACATTCCTTTCAATAATAGGGTCGGTCGGACAGAATTTTTTTTTTTTGGCCAATTTTTTTATGCAGATTGAATGGGGTATTCAAATACAATGTATATGCGAAGTTTTAGCCTGAACTATTTCCATTGCACTACGCAAGCTATACACAGAATGGCCACAAAAAGTGAATATAAAACCTACCTTAATTATTGGCAATATATTTACGTTTGATAATTCTTTAAAAAATATATAAAATTCTGGTCGTTCGCACCATATGCACAATGCTAGTCAAGACGGGAAGCTGGCCAAAACTCAGAAGTGTGTGATGCACTGACTGTGCATGTGTGGCGCGGCCAACAGACCTCGTTTTTACGGTCGAAAATTTCGGGAAACATAAGCTGCACTGTATCACGTCAAATACGAGTAGTGCGATCTCAACATGAATGCTGAAACACGGAAAATACACAGACAAGCTAGATCAAAGCTGTGAATTAACTTGCAAAAATGTTCTTTCTCCATCGGTGTTTTCTTGGCATTTTTACGATGTTGAATCCGGCCAGTTGACAGTCACACGTGCCCAATGCATAGCCAAGCTAGCGGGCTATTGATCGCATAGCCGTGCACAGACTGGTTACCGCATTTTCATCATGTCTTCTAAATTGGCCCCTGCGCGGCGTGGTGGGAACCAGTCGTCGCCGCATTGAGCTAGGTTTTATATGCACGTGATTACTTGTATAGTCACCGTGACATCGAATTCAAAGGCGAATTTGTAAAAATAACGGAGGTTTCCTTTGAAAAAATAGCTAATGTAAGTAAGAAAACAAATAAATACAAGCATTTTTTTGACGCAAAAGGGTTGTTAAAAGGTATTTTGTGCATACAGCAAAGACAACAGGTTTTTATTGTTATTGATTCAATCATTATTATTTATTTTTTTTTTTTCGAATTGCCGATAAATTTTTTAGGGTCCCAGCCTTAAAATAGGGTCGGTTGGGTAACCGGAAGCAGAAGTATTATTTTTTTTGGCCTAAATAAAAAAAACTCTTGATTTCTACTTTGATCAAAACAAAACAGGGGCCCTACACTGCACGATCTCATAATTTTAGCTCCAGCTCTAACGTTATATGTCCAATTCTTGATGATCATTGGAGCTGGATTTATTCAAGCTAATAATTAGGCCAAAAAAAAGAATAGTTCTGCTTCCGATTACATGCCTTTCAATAATAGGGTCGGTCTGTCGGAATTTTTTTTTTTTTTTACCAATTTTTTTATGCAGATTGAATGGGGATTATATGCAAAGTTTTAGCCTGAACTATTTCCATTGCACTACGAAAGCTATACACAAAATGGCCACAAAAAGTGAATAAAACCTACCTTAATTATTGTCAATATATTTAAGTCAGATAATTTTTTTAAAAAAGTGGAAAATTCAGGTCGTTCGCACTGGTCATATGCACAACGCTAGTTAAGACGGGAAGCTGGCCAAAACTCCGAAGTGTGTGATGCACTGTGTGTGTGGCCCGCGGCCAACAGACCTCGTTTTTACGGTCGAAAATTTCGGGAAACACGCTGCATTGTATCACTCTAAATACGAGTAGTGCGATCTCAAAATGAACTCTTGAACACGGAAAACTCCCGGAAAATACATACACAGACAAGCTAGATCAATTCTGTGGATTAACTTGCAAAAATATTCTTCCTTCATCGGTGTTTTCTTGGCATTTTTACGATGTCGAATCCGACCAGTTGACAGTGCACGTGCCTGCGGTATGCTAGCAGGCTATTGATCGCATAGCCCTGCACAGACTAGTTACCGCATGTTCATCATGTCTTCTAAATTTGTGCTGCGGGAACCAGTCGTCGCAACATTGAGCTTACGCACGTGATTATAGTCACCGTGACATCGAATTGCGAAGTAGTTATATCGCAAAGCGAATTTGTAAAAATAACGGAGGTTTCTTTTGAAAAAATAGCGAATGTAAGTAAGAAAACAAATAAATACAAGCATTAATTTTTGACGCAAAAGGGTTGTTGAGAGGTATTTTGTGAAGACAGAAAAGACAGGTTTTTATTTTTAATTTATTCAATCATTTTTTTTTTTTTTTTTGAATTGCTGATAAAATGTTTAGGGGGCAGCCTAAAAATAGGGTCGGTCGGGTAAGGCCAAAAAAAAAAAGTCTCCGGTTTCTGGTATGGAGCTTGCCCCAAAAGTGGTGCGGCGACGCGGCTTTTTTTTTTTTTTTTACCTGTTTTTTTTTTTTTTGGCTTCAAATGTCAGCTGATGACTGCAAATGGTGCCCGACTAAACTTAGTGCAAATATATGGGAGTCCAGAGAGGCCATATAAATCTTATTCTCGATCATAACTCCTTCTAAAAACACGTTAAAATTGTGCAGCAGCAGAATTCCAGTCAAACCAGTGAGTTTGGCGGTTTTGAAACATCATCTTGTATTGAAAAAAAAACTTTTTCATTTTGCCGACGCGCATGGCTACGGCGACGCGCGCGCATACCAGAAACCGGAGACTTTTTTTTTTTGGCCTAACTGGAAGCAGAACTATTATTTTTTTTGGCCTTATCGAAACAGGACAACTCGTACGCGAACCAACTCGTACGCGAACCAACTCGTACGCGAACCAACTCGTACGCGAACCAACTCGTATGCGAGTCAACTCATACGCGGATTGGTCAACTCGTACGCGAGACAACTCGTACGCCAGCCAACTGGTACGCAAGACAACTCGTACGTGGTCCAACTCGTACACGAAACAACTCGTACGCCAGCCAACTCGTACGTGGACAATCGCCAACTTGAAGTTTACCCCAAAACACACGCCAAAGTTGATTGTATGACTGAATGACTGTGATTGTAGCCATATGTATTTTCAACAAATTTAAATTCCATAAATGCAACGATGTTCAAGTTCAAAAGTTTCAATGATGAATTAAAAAAAACATGATCCATTTTGCGACCGACATGACCGATGTGTAGTGCAATGCTGCGGCATGCACTTCCAACCACGCAGCTAGTGTGGAGAATTTGTCAAGACATACGATTTGATTTACACATAGCACGGGGCCACTATAGCAGTGTATGGAATTGGAAGTCTACAAATGCAGCGGATATGATACGATTTAAATTCTCACTATGTGGCATTATCTTGTCTTATAGTGTACGGCGTGAGCAAGGATCGGACATACCGGACAGTGTGCGAGTGGTCCAGGAAAACAAATCATAACTTTTTTGTTATGAGCAAAACAAGCTGATGTAAAGATGAACTAATTGGGACCACTCAGTAATACAAAATAATCCCCTTAACTTAAGGAAAAAGAATGTGCCGGACAACTGACCAACCCTATTAATTTCCTACACGCCCGAACCTACCGTTTCAGTAAAATCCCTTGTGTTACGGCTGCTAGTCTATACTCACGCGTACGAGTTGGCTCGAGTACGAGTTGGTCCGCGTACGAGTTATCTCGCATACGAGTTGACTTGCGTACGAGTTGTCCTGCGTACGAGTTGGTCACGTACGAGTTGACCTGTATTCATAATTATTTGCCACTAAAAATTACAGAATGTTTTCATTGAATTTTGCCATTTACATTAGTAGGCCCTAGTACTATGCTAAAACGAAACGCATGCAACATAGGCCCTAATAAAATATGAAAATAATTTAAATGTTATTAATTTTGTCGTGTGATTCTCTTTCCAGTGATGCCCCATTTTCTAGGGTTGTAAAAAAATCTAAAAAGTGGTGAACTCCCTACCGTTATGACCGTACAACAAAAAACAACAGCCGAAGTAACATGGGGGCGAAGTGGTGAAACGGGGCGAAATGGTAACACGGAACAAATTGACTGAGCGAAATACGATGGGTGATATTGATTAAAAAAACGACATAAATACAGCTGCCTCTAAATAGAAATGGGAATTTTCTTTGTCACGATGTACATACCTTTATTGCTATGAAGTCGATCTTGTTGAAGAATGTGTCCATTTGAGGTAAAAACACGTTGAATAATCCTTAGTCAAATCTGCCGCTCTCATGGAGGGTGGACGTTCCGGTATTCGTTAGTTCGAGCTCCTAACACGCGGAAAGCCAATACACGGTTGGTTTCACTCCTCCAGTAATTGCACGTGGTATATTTTTTTTGAGCGGCCTCGCTCTCGAAAAGCGTTCGCGGCCGCCCTGCCGATGTTCTTCTTGCCAGTATAAGAATAAAATGTATTTAGTCAGATGGTCGGTCAAAAATAATCTCTCACTTGCAATTGGGCATATTTCGTTAACAATTTCAGGGATGTTTAATGAAACACTATCAAACTTGATGCCATTTTTCCCAACCCCAGAAGATGGTTTCCCGGTTATTGTTTTTGAGCCGAATTGAACCCATTTTCTCGACCTTTTGTGGGCGGAGCGTCCATTTGGAAAATTGGCGAAATAAACCCCAAAATAGAGTCCTTTATCAAGTCTTGCAGCAGATGAAAAGTATGAATTGAGAAATACATGTGTACATGTTGAAACACAATTTTGGGCAAATTTTCTCTTTAAAGAGAAAAATGAAAGGTGAAATTATCTGAATCTACTTTTGCGTGTGAAGCCGCCACTTTTTAATGTCATGGCCCTGCCGCCCTGCTCATCCAGTGGCACATCCAAAGGGGGGGGGGGGGGTAAAGAGGTTGTCATTTGTTTGTTTGGTTTGGGTATTTTCTTTGAAAAATGTTTTTGTCCCACGATTTTAACCTTGGTGATAATGTATGTGGCCTATTTTTGAGTAGTAAGAGGTGCAAGTGCCGCCACCAACGTCAAAGTAGTCCCCCGCCCCCAAATTTTTCTAAAAAGAGTGGTTTTGAACTTGTCAAGGTTTTCATAAGCGATAGTACCCAAAAATGCAAATGGGCCCCTACAAGCGGACTGACTAATTATCCCCTACCGATTTTAGTTGAAATTCTCAGTGTAGGCCCTACTAAACAATTGTCTTCTATTTTTTCCCAATAAAAGGGATATGTTACTTTTGTAAATATGCAGTATTGTTAGGGTGAGGGAGGCTACAATGTAGCAGAGAAAGCTGTGGGGGGGGGGGGGGGGGGAACAGCCCCCCATGAAACCTTGTCACCCCCCCCCAGTCGCCCCCCCCCCCTGACATTTTGAGTTTCTAAAAAAATTATCATTGATCTACATGACGCCCCCCCCCCCCCCCCCCCCCAGCGCCCTCCACTGAAAAATTCCTGGCTACGCCACTGGCAACACCTACTTTTAATATCTTTAAAAACTGTTCTGATGAGGGGTGGGGGTGCCCATGACCCTCCTTACTGTGCCACTTGAATGAATGTTACTATCCCCATGAAAACGACACAATGACAATTATTTAAACATAAAATACACTGAACAAAGAAAGTAGGGTAACATAGTTTTAATACATCTTCATAGAATCACATATTAAAAAACAAGTTAAAGATAAAATTGCCCTTTTTTTCAAATTTTAATTCTGAAACAAATGAATACAACAATACACTATCAATTTTAAGCTTTTTTTTTTAATGTACATGCAGCGGCGACGGATACTTTAAGGGCTTTTTTGTTGTATCTTGAGGGGGCACTTTACTATTCGAGGGGGCACATTTATGGCCGCAAAAGGGGCACTTGGGAAAATCTGGGGGGGCAAATGCCCCCCCGGTTCCGCCGCCCCTATGTACATGTAGTTCCATCTTTGGGTAATTAAATAAGTAAAATAAACATCAAGAATATCACTTTATAACCATCTCAAATTTATGAAAAGATAATATCTAAAAAGGTACATGTATATCTTTAATTTATCCTTAATTCCCTTATATGTTAGCACACATGAATTCTTGCAACATTTAAACCCAAAATGTCCACCCGGCTGAATTATAGACAATGCTCATTCATGATTCTAAAAAAAAAAAAAGTTTCCTCAAGTACATAGCATCTTTACACGTTATCTGCAAATTATTACAGAAATCTGACAAAGACAGCAATCAGTCAACTTTATCTCATACTCAAACTACTACACATTACAGTAATAAATTATTACTGTAATTTGCAGCCTACACTGTAATTTGTAGTAGTTTGAGTGTCAGATGAAGTTTTTGGTGTTGGTACTTCAAATTATTTCATGCTCAAAAGGAACTTGCTCTCGGATTGTACATTTCAATAAAATACAACAATAAACTCAATGGTGCCATCTTCTCTGTGTTTCTCTTTCTTCGTAAGATCCTTGTTACAATATTCAAATGGACATGTAAGTTATGTTTTCAAATATAGCTGGGTTCACGTAACTATCAGCTGGCAAGTGTTAATGACTGGCCATAGCAAAGTTTGCTTTAAAAACATCAGACTTTAAATCTCCCAGACATGGCTTACACCTGCCAGAGGGTTCTACTTAATTATTTAAAATTTACATTCAATTGTTGTACATTATCTGTACCTGAATCAGAGCGTGACATTCCATAACAAAATCTGCTCAAACAATCAACAAAACGAAGGTAATTCAGATTTGTAACTCCCAGAATGCCAAATACTTCCACGGTATGCATGACGGCCTTAAAACTTTTAAGGCCGTCATGCATACGTGGAAGTATTTGGCATTCTGGGAGTTACAAATCTGAATTACCTTCGTTTTGTTGAAGTCTAAACATTTTAAGTGAGCAAATTTATTTCAGTTGGACAAATGTGGTAAAAAGTCCCAAAATATCCACTGTCTGAAAAAAAGAATTTATACATTGATGATAAAGTTAGAATAGGAAGTTAGCAGGCAAGAAGTTGCTTGTTATATCATCTCCAGCGTAGCTGCCATCTCCGGTATTTGCTTTGAGAAATTCTGGAAAGGAGGGAGAGAATAAAAGTAATCAGAAAGCATGTTTTTATAACCTCAAAATCTCTAAATACCTAATTTAAATAAACCTTCAAATACAATCTCAAGACTTATTTATAAGTCTGGAGATTGGAGATTAGCCTGTTTCAATCATATACAGGACGAGTTCAAAGTGCTGGTTCAATCATTCATCCTGAACATGCATGGAGCCACTATATATACCAGGCTGAACTTACGCAACAGAAATATTCTTTTCAAGCCTCACCTTATACTCAGCCAGCATCGTCAGTGATCACCATCTGTAGGATCGACGACCTTAAGTGACATCTTCACGAAGGTGAAATTGAGGCTCCAGCAGACGTCCGACAGGCAATGCCCAGTTTCCACTGCCTGTCCACCAGTTGACGTACATGTACGCTGAGGAGTTGGCTGACCCCTTAAAAGACTAGTCCTGGAGCAAAAGTGACATAAATAACGCTATGATAAGTTTCCTCTTTTGGAAATCAGAAGTAACTTGATGCATTTACATTAACTCAAAACAGTACACTACTTGAATGATTCACTGCTTCTTGTAGATACTGTAGTGTTGTTGTCAAGTCCATCACAAGTCTGATTTGAAGTAAATCACAAGATAAATCACATGTCTGGTCACATGCATTAGGAATGCCTTTGACACAGCTGAATTAAATAGATGGTAGAACTTGACTTGGGATTGGATGACTTGTGATTGACTTTGGGACTTGTGAGAACTTGTGTTGCATTTGATTACAACACTCAGACATGCACGGGGAATTAAGCAAATACGAGGAAACCCCAAAACAAACTAGAGTTTGCATTCATGATACGCAAAAACCGAGGAAATCAGCGGATCCGAGGAAAAGTTGCATGCCTGAACACCGCAAAACTCTCTCCTTAGTTCTATTTTTGCAAACTATTACTGTTGAATAGTTGAAAGCGCTATATCACAATATACCTCTTCTGTCCAAAGCTCCTTAATGATATCTGTACGGCCGTCTGAACATACAATGCTGTCTTAGTTCCTCCACCATGTCATCTGGTAAATCTTGGGCCCTTGAGGATGATTTGAGTTGAAAAACCAAGAATCTAAACAGACAAAACAAATATAGTTATGGCATTAGTCAAATCACATGGCAATTATAGTGCATCATAGTTTTAGCCCTGCCATCCCTGTGTTCCATGTGTTCTAGAGCATATAAACATGGTGTCAGAAGTCGGCCTGAAAACCCTGCCCACCCATGAAAAAAGCTCACCAAACGTAAGAAACTGTTTCTAACTTTGACTATAGCATCGCTAGGATCAACTGTTTTGCCCTGTGACTCATGTAGGCAGTCGCTGGGAACGCTAAAAGTTGACCGTATTCACCGGTAGTTTTCACCACGCATGGACAGTCATCTACGGTGGCCTGTACTTGCCACGTACGGCCATATTTACAAACGCATAGGACAATCGTGATTCTTTGTTGTCATTATGGCACAGTCACTGATTCCGGCTCCATCAAAGATGGATGTGAAAGGCGATATAGTCAGCAACTGGCAGTATTTCAGAAATAGTTGGCAGAACTATGAAATAGCAATTGGACTGACAGGAAAACCAGACACCATTCGAGTTGCTACCCTGCTTTCAGTGATGGGTAAAGAAAGTTACCAAGTAAACGAGAACCTGCCTTTGACTGAGGAAGAGAAACAAAACTCTAAAACACACCATCACTAAACTTAACGTTATTTTTCAGTCTTCTTATTGCAGGTGTATTGTCATTTGAGTTTTGATTTGTTGTCAATTATAAGTGTGGTGTATCTGATTGCAGGCAGGAAACATGGCTGATGGTAAAGAGCTGCTGCGCTTGGGGCGCGACTGGTGTAAAAAGGATGACATCCGAGTAGGTAATGCTCTCCTTCTTGTGGGTAATGATGTGCTTGATGCGTCCACGGAGGCAGTAACTCTTAGCCTGGCAAAGACGGTCAGACATCTCGTTGGTGTGTCAAGACAGGAGCGTGATAAGACACTCCTTCCGTGTGAGTTTGATAGGGAAGTGAAGGAAGTTGTACTCCCCCCATCGGAGGTCTTGACCTTGTATGTTGATGATTCTGATTTTCAGTTTTGAATTCAGATGTTGGCCCCTACTGTATTCAAAAGTAGAGTTTTGGTCAGGGATCTTTCCACAGATGTTTCCCCAGAGGCAAGAGAGAAACAAGCAGAAGTGCCACTGGCCAAGGCGTTGACAGCTTGCAGTATCTCCAGCAGTCGAAAACTGCGACCACTCTCAGGCGCCTAAGTGCCCTTGAAGGATGAGGACAGCTTCGACACTTGAATAGAGCTTGTCCAGGATCAATTGGAAGAAGAACCAGAGGATGCGGAAAGGCGGCGAAGATTGAGGGAAGCACTCCGTCCACCTGCCGCTACCATAATTACAGAGTTACGTCGGGACCAGCCGGAGGCTACAGCCGAAGACTACTTAGCAGCTCTAGAGCTAGTTTTTTGGCAGCACTGACTCACCCGAAGAGCTTGGGTGCAGTTTCATTATATGCATCGGGGGTGTGGTGAAACCCCCTCGGAGTTCCTCACCCGGCTCCAGGCAGTAGTGCGGAAGTTGGTGGGGAAGGGCTCCACCAAGAGGGAGGAGGTTAATTCGCTGCTTCTGGCCCAGTTTGTGAGAGGAATTTTGTATGATGAAATCCTGTTTGTTAATCTGCATCTCAAAGATATGAAGAATGATCCACCTGCCTACTTGAAGCTCTTACAAATGGTGAGACGGGAGGAGGCGGAACAACAAGCGAAAGTTTCACATCGTGAACCTAGCTAGTTGCACCTGGAGTACAGCTCTTGGTCTGGAACTGACCCGGGAAACTGTTATCCGTTTTTGGAGGAACTCTTGGGACGTCTCTTGCCAGTAGAGCAAGACTGTAGACCCAAATCCAGGATCCTGGTGCATCTCTTAATGTTTATTCATTTTTTATTGAGCGCTCCTTTATTCATTGTTGGTCATTAGAGTATCAAGAATTTAGTAGTTTGCTAAATAAAACATTTTCATATAACCCCATTTGGTGGACTTGCAGGAAGCAATACTTTGGATTGTGTTTGTATGCAGGGCTACATGTATAATGGTGATTAGCCGTAGCCACATAATTATTATTGCCACTGGTTACCGTCAGCAAAAGACGTGTATTGAATGCATGGTTTGCAGGGCAACCAGTACCTGTACCCCATACTAGTCACATATTGCGTGTTTGGTAAAGTCCTGCGTGTAATATTCACTTTGATCTAACTTTAGATTAGGACCTCAAGTGAAGAGGACCTCACCACCAATGAAGATGCCACGGCTGCTGGCAATGTATAGCAACTTCCGCAAACGATCAAAAAGTGGGGATAAGTCCAGTAGTGTCACTGTTCGTGCAAAATTAGAAAGATATCTAAGAAAAGAAGAAAGTGATATGCAACATGACGTCATCACATTTTGGCACAACAACACTACAAAGTACCCCGGCCTTAGCGCCCTGACACAAAAAGTGCTCCCAGTCCCAGCGACCAGTGCCCCTGTCGAGCGAGTCTTCAGCAGGGGTGGAATAATAATGCGTCAACATCGAGGAAATTTGTCATCACGCACATCAGGGACAATTATTGACAGTGGAACTGCCAGAATTGTTAAAAAAAGAAAAGAGACCAGAATTTTTTCCACCCGATATTGTCCAACTTAATGTAAGAAAAAAATTTAATCAGAAGGGTTCGATACAAAGACATTCTTTAAACCCATCCCTTCGTGGGAAGACAGTTCAGCGCCGGTAAACGACAAAACCAGTGAAGGAATGTGTGCATCAGATGATGACAAGGTGGTCGACAAAGACTTGATGTTTTCATCGGATGAAAATAACATAGACTGTGAATTCCAGAGAAATAGATCTAATGGCACTGACCATAATGAAAGTGAAAACTCCCCTACACATAATGCCGCAGCTCTTAAAAGCAAATGGAAGTTTTCGATCAGTCTGTCAGCCAAGGAGTGGTCTAAGATGAGGCCAAAAGGAAAGACAAATCGTCTCTGCAATAAGTGTGACAGAAATTGTGTATGACAAGTTTTAAAAAGGTTAACAAAAATATGTGTGCTTGTCTTTAAGATTCTCGGGCCAGTGGTTTTCAATTCCATAATCTGAATTGAATAAAACGCCGGAGGAAGACCTAGAAATCTGGTGAGGCAAGTTCGCTGCCAAATTGAATAAAAAATCCCACTTGAAGCCGTCCACGGGCTGCTGGCTGTGGGTGGGAACCGTTAAAAAGGCAAAGGGAAGGAGTGGAAATTATGGGTGAATATTAAAAAGAACTACATTTTAAAATCTTGTATTATGTCTGATAACTATAACAACAAATTTGCTTTGATTCTTAATATTGTTAAGAAGGGGAAGAAAACAGGTTTGATGGTCATATTAAGTTAAAGTCAGTTGAATAATAATTGAAAGATTAGTGTCATGGCAGTGCTAGAAAAGATGTTCGAGTATTTTCTTGGTATGAATAACTGTAAAAAGCAAAGTTACTCAGGGCTTGCTTTGGCTAGTCCCTGAGGTGACTAAGACCAGTGGTCTATTAAAGATAAAGGCAAAAGGAAAGGCGAATCGTCTCCGCAATAAGCCACTTCGGAATCTCGCACGCGCAAAGCATTATGGGAGCGTGTCATAGGTCACAGGAGATAAATAATAGTGGCTGCCATTGACGACGCGTGTGCTTACACGTTGCTCTCGTGGTATAGTCTTTGCAAATTTGTCATATTCTCGTTGTAAAAGTCGCGATATTTTGAATGATTTTCTGTATTGTGCTCTTCAAACATGTGAATGTCATCGTCCAGTTCTTCCACTTTGACACTACATTGTAGATGCTATTGAACTGTGGGAATTGTAATGCTTTAAGGAGTTATTTGAGATTAAGAGGGCTGAAAACTTCCGGAAGAAAGAAGGAACTGCAAGTGCTAGTTTTCGCCGCCTTGCAACTCAACGTGCCACTGAAGGACGATGAACTCATCAAAGAAATAATTTTGAACCAGAACTATTCGGAGCTTCTATATTTTGACGGCAGAAAGATTCCTGACCCCCTTACGGAACTCAAGAAAGGCTGGGTGGGAGAAAAAGACGGCATTCGGCAATGGCCGCCCGTGACCTACTTCGAGATCGCCGAATGGCTACTCACAAATGCCCCGGCAGTCTGTCAGCCCAGTAAACGACCAAAAACTCTCAGGGACAGACTTCTGTCGGATTACAAGGAGGGGAAAGCCTCCAGTAACTTTCAGAGTGACTGGCTAAAAGAACTTTTTTTCCATGAACTGTCACCAGAGGACAATATTTGCATCTTGAAGGCCGACTGTGTGCCATCACAGAGAGTGAGGAACACTCCCCACAAAACGTGGGTTGCCATTGAGAAAAAAACTGGCAAGATCCGGAGTGCCTATTGCACATGTTTTGCAGGGTAGGCGAAATTCTTTTTACAGTGATTGTTGGCCCATGCACTTTCAAACTGTACCATGGGCCTAGCTGCAAGTCCCTTTGCCCTTCTTGAACAAAATTTATACATTTTTAAGGGCTTAAGCAGGGCATATTGAGCATGAAAATACATGCTGAGCCTTTCTCTGATTCCATATATTTTAATTTATTTTTCGTCTAGAATTTTCATTTGTAAGACTTTGCTTGACATGCTGGATTAGACCGAAAAGCCAATTAGTAATTAGACAATTTGAATTTTATGCAGCCAATTATTATAAAACAAAAATGGTACTCCTTCAATTTTGAAATGTTTGAGGTTTTTAATTACTAATTAATCTGTAGTCAGGAATATATGCATATGTTTCATGAACAAAAATTAAAAGTCCTGATTATAGGCCCGCTATATGATTGAAAAACATTTGGAAAGGAGAGAAGATTCTTTTCAAATTAATTAAGCGAAGAAAACTTCAACTGAAGAATGTTAGACTAAAATGAAAAGTATGTGTTTTTTTTATTTCATATTTAATATGGGGAAATATTCAGTCATCTATTGCATCATATTTTCTTTCTTTCTACAGGCTTGATTCATCTTGTAATCACACAGCTGCAGTGATATTTAAGTTAGACAATGCGTTTATGACTGGGGCCTCTGGAGTTAATACAGTGCCATGTACTTCAAAGCCTTGCAATGGAATGTATTCAAAGGCCCTAGCTTGTCACAGGTTCTAGAAGGACACCGTGTTTGTGATCTTCAATGGGTGAAACCTAATTACGCAAAAGGAGGTAAGCAATAGTCTTTAAACTGTAAAGTAAATTTTTCAAGTACATGACATGCATGCGAACAGTTCATGATCAAATAATGCACATACAATACATGAATGTGCTTGCAGTTTCTACATGTACTGTTTGGTTTTTGGGGTTTTAATTTTGCCTCAATTTCTCCTAGCATTTAAGAAATAATGTCTATGAATCAATCAAGTTAATATTTCCTTCTCCTATGCCATCATATTGTGTTGGGCAAGTAAATCTGTACTGAGTACATGCACAAGTCAAAATTTTACATTTTCATGCCCAGCAAAATTTATGGCGCAGTAAATAAATTTACATTTCTGGTTTTATGCTGATCTTGTACAGATCTACAGTTCCTTCAACCAGGAGCACAGTCACTAAGCAGCTGTTCAACCCAACCGAGGCCAGAGGAAGCAAGCCCACGAGTGAAGGACTCATCAATGCACTGTATGCAAGCTGCAAAGAGTCCTCACTTTTTAAGTATTTAGTTGTCAGTGAGGCACCTCCTTATTCACCAGCTGAGAATTTTAACACTGACATTGCCTTACAAGAGGAGGTCTACACTACACCAGGCCAAAACAATAAAGTTTAAGGTGATCAGGAAGTGTACAATTAACCACTCTGGTCGCCATGGCCAAAAGTGCCACTTAAAGGGAAAGAAACGACAGGTTGTTACAATGGAATTGGAAAAGGAGGGAGTGAGCAATCGGTATTACATGTACATGACTATCAGCCAAATGGGCGAGGAAGAGATAAAATCAGGAAACCTGACACCTTGCTCTTCCTTGGATCCGAGGAAAAAAAAGTCATTCGCGATTGCACGAAGATGCACTCCAAGAGGTCAGGTTGCTTCTAGACGTATACAAAGACGTTCATCCAAGTTCCATTGACACCGATGGCGGTTTTGTGCAGCACATTTTGATATTTCCTTTCAAAGCGTACCTGATGATAAATGAGCAAGTGGTTCTGTATTTAACTGAGTTAAAGAAAGGTCCTGTCGTCTTGTACTTGGATGCTACCGGCTCGGTTGTCCGGAAAAATTGCCGTTCAGAAAGCGAGTGTTCTATTACACCCTCGTGATGAAAAAGCCCAGAAAGGGAAGAGCAGGCATCCAGGTAGCTGAGATGCTCTCCAACGACCACCAAGCATCCACAATAAAACACTTTTTGGCCCAATTTGTAAATACAGTGACGAAGACGAGAACAATTGCTTCGGTAGTGCCAGTGAGAGTTGAGGTGGATTATTCCTGGGCCATGCTGCAATCTGTACTGTCTGGATGTGTTTAACACAGAGGATTGCGAAATGTATCTTCAACGGACTTCCAATATAATCCAATCGCAGGACAAGACAGAAATCAAAGTATACACCTATCCTCACATATGTGCAGCCCGCATCCTCCATGATGTATCACGTAGTTTAAGGGAGGTAACTAAAGACAAGGGCAAGAAACAATTCATTCTGTACTGCTTCGCACTTCTCCAAACAAGGAACACCCTTCAAAGTGCCAAAGAGATATTCTTCCACATGTGTATTGTTTTAAATTCCTAAGTGGGCAGCCAGATGTTAGTTTTTCTGTTCATATTTTGAGGTCCACTGCAAGTACAGTTGCTAAGTGATTTTTTAAAGCATGCTATCATTGTACATTGCCTTGCTGGGGGCTACGAGGTGGAATCTGCATCGACTTTGTGCACTCTCCATCTTCTGCTTATGCCATACCAAGCTGGTGGTCGGCAACCAAACCACTTGTACCCATGACGGCCACAGAAAAGCACCAACTCAACCAGTGCGGAGCAAAGATGTTCAATCTATGCCAGCTGGATGGTCTGTCAGCTTTCCCAGCTGGAGGAGTTGAGTGGGTGGCATGTGACGTCTGCATCCAGTGGTACCACTCCCCTTGTGTGAGACTTACCCAGGAAGAAGCAGACTCACTCCCCAGCTTCAATTGGATGTAAAAAGGAGGACTCTTTTCCCTCCTGATATTGTCCATCTTTACAAGGATTCAACATAAAGATATGCTTCAAATTTGACTAGTCTCAAGCACATGTTGGCTTATCACCGCCCTGCTGATGTATGCCAATCATGATATCAGTCTGGAAACTGCATCTGCTATTTGCATAAAATTTAAATATGCATAAGGCACTTCAAAAACCCATATTTCAACGACAAATCCATTAGCTGTTTTAGATTTTGTTTTTGGGGAATTTGGTTGCTGAGAAAATGTTATTTGAAATTGTTATAAACCATTTATTCAAAGCTTGTTGGTTAAAGGAATTTGTATCTTGAATTTTATCTTCAACACTGTGATTAGAAAGTCCACTCTTTTTGAAAAGTCAAGCAGCCTCTAATAAATTTGTACTTTGATTTCTATATTTGGAACACAATAAAACTGATGTTGGTCGATCTGTGTCAATAAATTATAGATCTCCGCGGTACCATGACTTCCTTGGAGTATTAGGCCAAGTTCGCGCAAGGACTATAGTTGACCAATGGTTAACTAACGTTTGCCCGAACTCTGTCTAGTCGACGATGGTTGACTACGCTAGTCGACTATTTGGGACCAGCCTACTGGGGTTGGTTGCTTCGCTGGTAACTAATAGCCGCACGCATCCATAACGCTAGCAGAGAGCCAGGATCCAGAAGTTTTGCGATGACGTTTTGACCAGCGTTTGACTAGACGTTCGCACATTGCTATCAGTGCGCAGGCGTAAGGTACGTCACAAATCAACCACTAGTCGACTAATGGTCCTTGCCCGAACTTGGCCATAGCTGATCATTACAATGCTGATTGTAAACTTCCCAAGGTTGAGGAAAATCTTAAACGATTCTAGAGATGATTTTTGCAGAAAACTGCCCACTGTCTCAACGTATGCATCCCCTGGCTGTTAGACGTTAGCCAAGATCGAATGGTTACTAGATCATGAAAGGTTCATTTGAAGAGCTTGGACAAGCTTGGAATTGGAATTGTGGAATTAGTAATATTAATAGAATTGTTGCCCTTCAAAAAAAAGCTCTGAGAATAATTAACCGTACCGACTTTATTTTATAAACACAAAATACTAAAGGCCAATGATATTTACCTTCTACAGCTTGGGACCTTTATGTATCAGCTTTCCAACAATAACCTGCCTAACACTATCTGTTCAAAGTTTTGTAAAAATCAGGATGTTCACCGTCATTTTACTAGGCGTTATCATGATATTCACCAGACCTGGGCTCGTACAACTTTAACTCAAAAAACTGTTAAACATGAAGGCCCCAAGCTGTGGAATTCTCTCCATCCGTCTCTTAAAAAGGTGTCAAATGTGTCATTATTCAAACGCAAATACAAAACCCAATTAATTAACAAATATGTGGTAGAATAATCCCATTTTGTAACACCAAATAACTCTAGTTTTATTTCGTATTACTAGCTCTGTACCAATATGTTTTTGTCATTTAACTCCTATCGTTGTACTTGTACTTGTAATTAATTGTAACTGTAATTGTAATTGTAATTGTAATTGTTCTTTGTTACAGTGGGGGTCTCCACTCGACAAGCTTATGCTTTTTGGAGACCTCCATCCAGCCATACACAATAATTCAAATGTTAAGTAATATTATTATGTACCGGTACTTGTATGCGTTGGGAAAATTAAAGATTTGATTGAAGTTGATTGATTGGACATTGCAAAATGTGAAGAAGAAAAATATCACTCAAATACATGTATGTACATTAGTTTTCAAATTAAAGCATATATTTTAAAAAAAAATTAATTATACATCTATTTCTTTTTCTTTTCTCAGATTTCCGTACAACAGGCCCAGCACTCAGAGTGATCTTCCATATTTTCAGGTCAAGGCTTTGGGTGATTCCATCACAAGATACTTGCCAGACAATTTACACAGTGAATGGTTTATTCCATCGGTTCTTACCCAACCTGAGCTACGATTGGCCGCCTCCAAGAGAGACTGTGCTGTTCACAAGAGAGACTGTGCTGTCTTTGAACAGTGCACAGCCGTGTGTACATGTAGTTGTGTTACACGTGGGAACAAATGACCTGTGCAGAGAGTTCTTGGGACCTTTCTGCAAAAATACGAAGCGCTTCTCATTGCCACAAAAGAGAGGCTGCCACATGCCCAAGTTTTAGTCAGTGGGGTGTTGCCTTGTTATGATGACTCTGGCTTAAATAACGCAGCCAAAAACATACACTTGGCGAAGACGCGCCAAAAGTTTTCCGGGTGCAAATTTGTTGACCTCAGCGAGGACATAAACAGGAGGCATCACTTTACAAGAGATGGTTTGCACATGAGCTGGGAGGAAAACGAAAGGTTTGGGGCAGCACTGAAGGAGGTCGTTAAAAGGTTACCGGTGCGTGTGATACCAGGAGTGCCAGTGAAACCTTTTACAGCTTACTGTAAAGAGAAGGAGAAAACCTCGTACCTCACCTCCATCACTGATCACACCACCAGCATCCAGACCCCCATCCCTGTAGACAAGGTATTTAGGATGTTGCAGGTAAAGACATCGGACGACTGCCACTTCAGTTATCCAGGCCAATGTCAAAGGGACTGGGTACAGGCGACATCAAGGGGGGTTATGTAATTTTCACAGGGACAATAATTGACAGTGGAACTGCCAGAGGCAAGTGGCCTAAACTTGAGTGTGTGTATTACTTAGAGAATGTGAGCCCTAGAAGGGGTGTGGCTCTTGCACGAAGAATATCTGAGCATGTTCTAGGCCCATGTTCATGTATTTGGATG